ACAGCTTCTGGTCGTCTTGCTCTAATGGCTGCGTGGAGCTGGGTGGCCTACACAGTACTAGAAGTGCTTATTGCTGCAGCGTGTTGCTTTGGTAACGTGTTGGTGATGTGTGCTGTGTGTTTCGGTGTCCGGGATTCCCTTCGGGAACCAACATTCTGCTTCCTCGTGTCCTTGGCGGTGGCTGACTTCCTTGTGGGTGTGGCCGCTGTGCCCCTTGCAGTATTATTGGATGGCTGGGTGAGTCTAATCCCTGAGTTGTGCCTGCTTCTCAGCTGTGTTGTGCTGGTGTTGACGCAGGCATCTGTGCTGTCACTGCTGGCGATTGCTGTGGACCGATACCTGCGCTTGCACACACCACTCAGGTGAGGAACTCTGGGTCTCCTGTTTTGTAAACACTGTGATATTTGCAGGTTTATTGTGCTGTATCCCTCTTTCAGGTACAAAGCCTTGGCCACACAAAGGCACACATGGATCGGCGTGTCTGTTTGCTGGATACTTTCATGTCTCCTTGGCTTCACTCCTCTATTCGGCTGGCACAATTACTCCTCCCCAGCATCTGATTCTACCAACACATCGTCCACGTCTTTCATCCGTCCGCCGTGCACTTTCCTCTCAGTTATCTCCCTCCCTTTCATGGTCTACTTCAACTTTCTCGGATGTGTCGTGGCCCCCCTGCTGGTCATGACCCTCCTCTACGCTCGAATCTTTTGGAGCCTACAGGGACGTCTAAAGGACAGCTGCCCTCAGACCCAGGCCTCTCTGCTCAGGGAGAAGAGGCTGGCCTGCTCCCTGGCTCTCGTCCTCATCTTGTTTGCTGGCTGCTGGATTCCTCTCCACCTGATGAACTGTCTGCTGTTGTTTCAAGGCCCTCAGGCTGTCACACAGGGATCGCTCTATACAGGCAGGTGACGGTACTTTTTCTTACGCAGTTTGCAGCTGGTTGTTAAATATTCGAGAGCATGTGACTCGTTAACCCCACTTGCTGTGAAATGTAACACTAGCCAATCCAAATGTTGCAGGTATTCTCCTGTCTCACGCCAACTCAGCAGTCAACCCTGTGATCTATGCCTGTCGCATCCCAAAGATCCAGCAGGCCTACGGTCAGTTATGGAGGCGCTTCCTTGCGTGGTTAAACTGTTGCCATCGGGAAAAAGCAGGTTCGCAGATCATTAACATGCAGCTGAGCCATTAACATGCACATCTGGATAAAGATGGACGACCAGTCTCCAATACGGAGCCTTTGGGACTTTGTCAGGAAGTTTCTATCTACTCATAGAATCTGTGTTCAACCATCATGTAAAGCTTTATTAAAGCGAATCACATAGACTGGGGGAGGTTGAGTGTAATTTCCATTTATGGAAATTTGTGCAAACTTTATTCTACAGACAGCAATTTCCTGTGTCTCCACTAGAGGGCGGCACACACTAACAAACGGCACAGCTCCTGTTCGACGACACAACTGCAGTGTGTGACAATAATTTCAAGTTGCCATTCACTGATTTTTGAACTTATTCAAGACAAATGTGACTTTATTAAAATGTACATATTTTAAAAGCACATAAGTTAACACTTCCAGTCAACACTAATCATCCTGCGTGTCTTCCTCCTCCTTTTTTATTATATCTGGCAATAAACGTCATACTTGAGCCATGAGCACGTGTTGTATGTTCCTCAGTGTGCAGTGAGCTCCTCAGGGAAGGCAATAGACTGTATAGTTATCACCTGAGCAGGGTGCAGTCCCACCCACCAAACTATACAACCTACTACCTCACCCTGTCAGAGCCCAAGTCAAACACACCCCAGGTTCACCTTTCTGAAAATGTTGGGCCTATTTACCTGCTCGACGTGAGAACAAGAATAAGAAAGCTCGTGTTTTTGCTTGGAGACGGCAGTCGGCGAGTGGCTGACTCGGCTGTCTCTTGGGAAAGACAGTAGATTGTATAGTTATTTTAAAAAGAGGTTACACAACCCCACAACTATTCAATCTACTACCTCAGCTCCAAGGACAGCATCCACGCTGCTTCAACATCCAAGATCCACAAAGGTGTTCTTCCTGCAACGGCACAAAGACAGAAAGCGCTCAGTAATATTAACTAACTCACTGACATGCATCTGGTTATTCAAGTGTTCTTCTCGTGTACTTTTAAAAGTTGCATTTTTCACAATATCTTCGAGAGTTGAAATTCAACCTCTACAAAAAGGAGCCTCGTTGCATTTTGTCTGTTTTATTTGGTTTAAAATCGGTACGAGTGAAAGTGCTCACGCCTCACGCCAACAAGTCTCCAACTGCCAACATTTGGAGAAACATTTATCGCTTCTAAACAAAAGAAGACCCGAATTTGCACATCCTCACGCTCGACCCCGTTTCTCTGTAACGTCTTTGAGAAACACGTCCCATTAAAATAAATCAGAGACAAATTTAACGGTAAGTGGACGACGGAAAGTGAGAGCACTGATGTGTGAAAGCCCAACAAACAACTCACGGGCTTCCTGAGACTCTGGCATGTGATCGAAAGAGAGAAAAAAAGCGAGCTGCTCGATTCTGTGCCAGGAATCCTCCGTTTTCGCCAAAAACTGAGCTCATTCCAGCGGCTATCCCTGCGCAGGCTGCTGCTCAGACGGAGGTACACACACAGATGCCTGCAAATATGGCTTCCACCAGCTGCCTCTCATTGAATACAAAGCTGGGCTTCTGCCCCCCAAAACACAACAACGAAACACAAAATGGCGTCCTGCACATCGGCCATTTTAGCTCTGC